AACAGGGATGGTAACGAGACCAATCTACCGTTGGCTTACACATCGACACAGATAATATGCTCCAATGGAGGGAGTGTGGGCTCGGCCCTGCTGAGCCGAATTGCCCGCCGGCCCATCGGACCTACAGCAGCGTATATCATCCAGGTCGAACTCCTGGAAGTTCAATGACCCAGAGAGAGCGGGCAAAGGTAAATTAAGATACTGCTGCCTGTTGAACTTGAAAATTTTCTCTACTTCTGGGTTAAACATCAAGCCGCAGAACAAGCTAAGAAGCCATCAAGCTCCAAGATCCTTAATCCTTCAGAAATTTGCAGCTCGAAAGGGAATGCTTTTCCCCTTCTGGTCTCGAGACAGATCAGAAGAGAAAAAGCCACTCTTCCTTCAAAGCGAAAAAAGTTTGGACATACGCTTGTACATCCTGCCTCCAACATTTGACCACTTTCAAGCTGGTCCGACGATATCCTGCAACTGTGCCTTAAGATGCGAGCTCACCGGTCGTCTCATCCATTCTGTCCGCTTCGTATCACATGCTGGTTCCACCTAATGATAATTTCTAGATGAGAAGGGACAGAGAAATATACGGCAGGAGATGTATGACCCATGAATGGCTGAGGGCAGACTTACCGAAAATGAATGGTTACAGCATAACAAAAGGGTACCAAAAGGGGACCATTGAACCACTTGCCATCAGCACTTTTCAAGATGCTACCTTTCCTACTTGCTGCCCTTTTCTAGGCTATAAACGAAGGATTCAATCACAAGTAGTTGAGACGAACACCATAACCTACGAAGCCTGCGAGCGAATTGAAACCATGTTGTCATGGGGTGCAGGGCTCTGCTCCAAGTACCCTCTAATCACGTAGGGCGAGGGGTTCAGGTCGCGCGAGAAGTAGGCCCATTCTCCACCCGAGAAAAAGCAGGACAGCAATGGTGACGACAGCCTCAGACTGTCTTCGGGTTGCCAGCTGGCGCAGAATACTACTGTAACACCTTGTACCGTAGTGCGAAGATCTCAATTCAAGCTTCTGCAATTTCTCCATCAGGGGTAAAACATTGTTGAACTCGTCAGCCAGAACCACAACAACAATAGGTAACTTTTCGTGACGGTCAAATCAGCCCAAATCATGATCTGAGCTGAATGAGAGGCTCCAATAAGATTGGTCCTTTCGCATTCCTCACTTGGGGCGGTTAGACAAGCAACCTGTTATGTTGCGTGTTAAAGAAGGCTTTAACTCGAAGAGCTGCTTGTCCGGCGGAATCGGCTTCATGGCCATTGTTGAGTGTCTGCTTGCGTGTAACTTGAGAATAAAAACACGGTCGGGTGAGGGGGAGGAAGGGGAAGAAATTCTGTTGATCTTGCTGGACTCGAGCGATTGAGTGTTGTGGGATATTATGGCGTACCCGATAAGGAATGGGGCACTGGCGTTTTTGAATGCTTCTCATTTCGTTCTCACTCAGGCTGCCAAGGTGGCAAAGGGTGACAAAGACATAGTGACTGTAAGATTGTGTGCCACACTTACTGATGGCCAGAATTTGAAAGCCTTGGCCATGCATCACTTTGGACAGCTAGTCCAATTACCCCTTCGATGCAACTTTTTCATCACATTCTCTTCTAAACCCTTACTTCATCACTTTCTAAAAGCTTTGCACTTCTCTAGATGCACTGAAATTCGCGATTTCTTCGCCACTCAAAATTGTCGTGAACTGTCCTCTAAACGAGGGTGAAATGCTAAGTAGTAATACTTGAGTGGTGAGCCTTTTTTAGTCCTTTTTGACAAATTGGTTCTAAATCACCCAGGAGCCCACTCAAGAAATGAAAATACAAAGTACGTCCCCAGTACTACGTCAGGTCAAACCCTTGGTGCCCTTCCATAAATAGCCCAAAATACGGAGTTTTTGGCAACGACAACTTTGGAATTCGCTCATGCATATGAATCCATTCAAAATCCTAATGGGCTCAAATGCGTTTATGGCCTATGCCACGAATTGCATGGTCAACTCAGCTTCCCAGACGGATTCGGGGCAAAATGGGTGGCCGTGGAGGGATAAAAGGCAACCTCAAGTACTTTTGCATCTGCTCTGTGTACAAGTATTTCCAATTTAACCGAGGTAAGCGTAAAGGAAATCTGTTTTTGGACTCCCTACGATGTGGTAGGCAGGGTCTTCCCCTTGGCCTATGCCTAGGTTAGCCCGGTATTCTATACCCTGACTGTCAAACTATTCTCCCTTCGAAGAAATTTGCAAATGTACAGCATGCGAGCCGCATGCTCTATCGAGCATTCCGTAGTGAAACTGGGAAAATCAGTTTTTTCAGCTGCGATGCTTGTTCCTTCAGAAGAGCTTTGAAAAGAGAAAATTTTGAATAACGGCAATAAAGGATTGTAGAAGGTACTCAACACTGTTGAGGGGGAGTTCGAAAAGCGTTGAGGGCCTTAGAGGGAATTTGCAAAGAGGACTACTGAAGTTGTTAAAGGGCTGCAGGACACGATGAGGGGGTTGCTGCAACGAGAAAACGACTTGAAATTGCTCTAGCTTAAAGTTTGGCATCCCTCCTTGTCCCTACCGCCTCAAATGATCCTACCGACAATATGAAGAAGACGTACACACAGTACGGTAAGACTATGACATGCCAACGGGCCAAAAAGCACCTGCTCCTCAGACTATCCGCTCTCAATTACCTTTGCCTGCTCCCTTGCCTGTGAATTTACACAACTTCAACCGGGATGGTATACGCTGCTGTAAGACGCATGAGTGCGCACTCCAGCTGGCGACATACCTGCATTTTAGGTAAGCAAACTTTGCATAAAGTGTGGATTCCGGAACACAGTGGATTCCCTACATCAGCCATTCAACTTGAGCATTTCAAAAAATCCCGCTTACGTTCTCCTTGGCAAATCATAACGGGTTCAGCATTTCAATGTTCATGTCAGTGGATTCCTGGAGGCTTCGGCAATTCAAGTTCAGCAGCTTGCAGCCCCCACCTAGTCTAACAATAAATTGGTCATAATTGTTCCTTCAGAACAGTATGAAGGTAAAGCGAACGCAGTATTGGATGACAGTATGAACCAAGGAATCGGAAATTTCTGAACTGAGCACACGCATTTGGGAACTACTCGAAAAATGCATCATTCCATTACCGCCGAAGCTAGGCAAGATCAACTGTCCCCGGCTTCACCGATGACTTCAAAGCCCTCAGGTAAATGACACCCCTCCGGTTTCATACGACGCAAGCAGAGATGATACCAATTTACCGTTGGGTTGCTCACAAAATGGGATAAGGTAACATGGACTAGTGGAAGTCATTGGCTGCTTTCATAGTCCGCCAGCGGCCGGCGTGCTAGCCGAGGTAGTGCTAGGGGGAGGAGAGAGGCAGACGATCGGTCGACGCGGTCGCGTCGCGACGCCAAACAGAACCATCTCGACGGTCATTCCAACCATCATCAGCTGCATTTTTCGCTAAAAATGACTTGTTCTTGTTGGATATTTATTCGTTAAACTATATTTCTCGAACTTTCGGTAAACGTGAAGCTTGAAGTGTCAATCTTGACACACTAAAAATTCCCGAAATGGGTAATGTTCGATAAGCAATGATTGATCACGGCATATGGATCGTGGGAGCCGTTGAGCATACTCACAGGTAAATTGGCACAGATACAGTCTAATTGCAGATAATGTGAAAAATAAACAAAAACTGAGAAGCATCCGTCTACTAAGAAGGCTACTTCAAATGAGGAACAGAATGGAAAATGTAGAACAATAACCCTATTTGAAAGAAAAAAACAGTTCAACGGTAAAGTGAGATGGTGGGAGTGAGAGATCACATACGTTCATGTTAGGTGGACCTAAGCGTGAGCTCAAGATCCATTGACATATTATGGGGAGTGAGAGGTATGGTTCTTTAATTAAAAGGCACAGTTCACAATAATTTCGAGGTACCCCTTCCCATTCGAAAAGCGGAAGTATAGGTTGGCAAGAGTTCATCGGAAGTGAAGTGAGAGAATTCGCCGATTTCAAGGAAAATATGACCCCTTAAAAGTAGGGAAAATATAGGTTGCACGGGGTTACCATAACGGAAATTAAATAAGAGTGGTATTCGGACGAGATTTCGGTTGTTGCAATTGCGCAAAGAACTAGCTACATCGAGCCAGAAATGTACGGCTCTGCCACTTACAGTCGCTATGGGTCATGACAAGCTGTTTGAAATTCCTAAATGGGTTCCGTTGTGATCGGTGCAGCCTCTACAATGCCGGTGGAACTCGTCCGTGGACGTACACGCCGCAATTTTCGAGCCTTTATAACGATCTAGCTAAACCGTTTTCCGACCTAATAGCGCCAGAGAGGGTATACGAAGGGGCTTCGAATTCATCCTATGGGGGAATCTCAGAAACTACTTTTATCGTGAACTGTGCCTTTAAGAATTAGTTATGCAGGAAATCCACATGACGGAGTAGAAATTAAATTTTCTGCACATTTTTTGATAAGGCAGGACGCAACGGATCTCGCCCTCATGAACTTCAATCACCGCAATTCACGTTCACTTCTCGCTGAAAGAATATTTACATTATATAAACGATACTATTATATTAAAGATTAATGTGAGACTCACCGATAACATGACAAACTTCCGCCCTAATTTCGTGCCGCATGAAGAAGTCCAGCCAGAGGCGTTGCTTTGTTGAAAGCCGATCTCCGGGCCCTTTCACCTCGACCACCTGGTGAAAGCAAGTTGCTAATTAGTCAAAATTTACAGTGAGGCATTTCAACTCACAGCAATCGTCTTCGCTACGGTATTCCAGACAGTAAGATCTGGAAATCCACTACGACAGTTCCGATAGTCTGTCACAACCCGCCGCAAGACTGCAATTAGGCCCGGCCGTGGACAGCAGAAGAGGAAATTCTATAAAAACCGGATAAGCCAACAGGCCATGAACTTTTCTGGATATACAAAATGCTATGGATGCTCATGCAGAAGAAAGGGTCAGGTCCGAGCAGCTAAGCAGACCTTCTTTTTGGTGACACTTCGGGACATACATATGCATGTGTACTACAAAGGATTCGATCGCTAAGCACGATTTCGATCACGTACTTTCACGACTATCAACGTATTCCTACTGAAGCATTCTGAGAGCTCATCAAAAATAACAGGTAGCCATCATGAAACCCAATTTAGCTTTCGGTCCATAGCCATATTGTTCATCACCTTCGATACTGAATCAGTTGCTGCCCTGTGTTATAAACGCTTTTACCCTTACCTTGTGGGTAGGTACCCAAAAGCAGGACTGCGAGAAAGACAGAAAGAAGTGCACCATGAGACAAGCATTGACTTCCTGTGTAGGTGTAGCTATTTATGTGTTTCCATGAAATCCTGCCCAATCGATTTCTCATGAAGTATAGACATATATACGCAGCCAAACGACTACGAAACAATCGCACGCATGACAGGCCACGCAGCGCATGCGACTTTCACACACCGGGTGGGAAATCGTAGTTTTTTTTTTTTTTGATGTAGCCACTCTCTTCGAAATTCTTTTCGATAAAAAATAAGGAAAACCTTCACCAAAACACAAACAAAAATTAAAAACTATAAACGCTCTTCGGAAACCGCTACGCAGTATGCCAAACGCTGCGAAAGCTACGCGGCTTCTCGAGCGCACAATTTTTCGCCGCACTATAAAAAATACCCATAAAGAGTAAATCCTCGGTAATTCGACGAAAGTTCTGACGCCACCTATGAACGTGAGTCCTTACAAGAAGGAAGAGAGTGACATCCATTTATTTTTTAACGACTTGTGCCTTCAGTAGCAGAACGTTTAACGATTTCTAGTCATGCGAACCCTGATCTTACTAGCTGACCCACTTCGCATCAATTTGATATTTCTTGGACTTGGTTTAGACTCCTCAGCTTGGAGGCAGTCAAGTCGAATCTGGGCTGTTACAGCAATCGCGAGTGGTTACTTGGCCATTCTCACAAATCTATTATCGCTTAGGGAAATGAAAAGCGACCTCTACCCCATGTAAATGAACCCCTTACATTCTACGCTGACCCTCCAAAGATTATTATTGACTGACTAGAGTTTGAATTAATTTTGCAGGTTTGTAATTCATAGCTACAACCTGCCTTGTTCGGAATAGCGCGAGTTTCCAGAAGCAACACCCTAGGAATATTAAGTGAATGAAGAAAACGAACCAGAAATTCGCCAACTTCTTCGAAAAGGCTCCAGTTGATTTCGGATGTTTCCAACAGATGCTGTGCCACCCAAGTGATTTTTACGGCATCTGCGATTTCTTCGTCCGTAGCCTTCTCCAGCCATGAAAACCGTTCATCGAAACGCTCCCGACGGTCCTCATAAAGATTTCGAGATGCCAAATCGACCGGGTTCGTCTATAGGGAAACTCGAGTTCGAATTACTTAATCAATACGACAAGATGAGGTTTGGTTTGCAGCTTTCTGAACTTTATGTCATTCCATTTGAAGCCAATGCTCACCTGTACTTCGCTAAGCCATACATTTTTCATATTAGGATCGAAAATTATGTCATAGAATAATAATCCAAGAACCGTGTGCCAGATCGAACCTTCAGCATGAACTCCTGCAATGTGATATATTCATATCATGATTTCCTCGAGAGGGTGAAATGAAACTGCATATCCTCGACTATTGTTGCCCCATTCTGAATATAAATCGCTAATGAACCGTTAAGTTATATCCATCCTTTTCTATGATGGCCCAATTCTCTACAAAAAAGCAAATCCTAACTGACCATTATTGAAACCTTCTTTATCCAGGTAATGCATGCGTACCACCTCTTCCACAGAACATTCAACCACATGATTATCGACGTCTTTCACAACGAATCTATTAATTCTCGAATCTCCCAGGTCTTTCGACAATGTGGTTCCATAGATCTCTTTCTGAATGAGATCCGATAATTTCGATTGAATTCGGTAGTAAATTGGACTCATAAAAAGACTGTGACTTCACTTCAGCTCACCTTAACAGGCTCTGCCAGTACAATTCTCTCAAGAAAGTCACGGTTTGATATCCGTAAAGCTCGATCCTGCAACAACAAAAGCACAAAATTGTTGTAAAATAATGGTAGAGATTTGAATAAATGACATTTCGAAAAAGCAGGTATGGGTTTCGGGTATGGATAGCAAGGAAGACAGTGTGGGTGCTTGATTTGAAGGATTAGAAGAAAAACAAAAAAAAAACCCTGCGAAATTTATGAAAAAGGGGCACTGATGTGCAGCCCTTTCAGAAAATGTTCAAGTGGAACAGCTTGATGAAGTCCTGTTCAGCGCCAGAGGCATGGTTACCGGATACTGTAAATGATACAGAAGAGGCACATGACATGAACAACTGATAAACTATCCAATGTGTGACACCCAGGCCAACCCATTCGAATGAGGAGTTTGCGGACCTTCTTAATCGACTTTGAGCCTTAGTTACTCTAATTTTCAGCCCAATTTTGCTCACGACCATCCCCCACGCTGTCGCCCGAACAGAAAGGCAACTTTTCAGTAGTTCTCTTTCGCACAGGCACTGATATTCGTCTTTGACAGAGAGAAATCGTTAGCAGAGGTCATCAGCTGAGGCAACAAAGTTCATATTGCGTACAGTGAATTGTCGAAATACCTGAAGCATGAGTTTATCCTTATCCGCTACTGCATCGTCTTCCAAACCTTCTCGGATTTCCTGTAAAGCCTCATCGCGCTCTTTCATGTGCGCGTCAAGGTTGAGAGACAGTCGATCCCATAGCGCTCCACGGCTGTTCATGCAGAATGGCTTCAGTTCTAAACACCAACTCAAATTCTATGACACTTTGAAGGCATCTTAATCCATAAGATCAACAACAATTTCAGACCGAAGGCTTGTCAATGAAATCAAGAGAGCGATACAGAACTTCAGAAAACGATACATCTCTGAAGTAATGGCTAACTGGAAGAAAGGGAAAGGTCGTATAGCACTGAATAACGATCACACGGTCTTTTCAAGCAAGTAAAACACATCCATGAGTGCATAGTGAAATGAAACTACAAGTACTTGCTTGTTCAACGTACTTGTAGTTCCATTTGAAGCGCATGATCAGTGCAGATAAGACATTGATTTTACGCGCGCGTGCAAACGATAACCACGTTTATTAATATGTATAGGCACATAATCGAGAGAGACCCTAGAAGAGGGGAAGTAACCTTTTAAAAACTCGAGTAAGAGGATCAAAACTCAGTTCCAGTGAAAGAAGGTGAAGACCATGTTAATATCAACTTTTCCCGCATTTACCCCAATACCTTGGGAATCATGAGCTCATATAGAGTAATTTGGTGTAAATTACAATATTCTGCAACAATTGATAATTTCACTTACCCGGAGTTTTAAGTAGATATCTCTGCCAGCTGATCGCAATGGCATATTTCTTTTGTCGTTCTAGAACGCCTGCTCCGTGTGCTACACATCTCATCAGCACTGAAATCGCAGTGAATCGACGAAGGTACACCGGTAGACCAGCAGCTTTTGCTCGCCTGCAAGCCATTTCAGTATATGACATCACAGCCTTGATGGGACAGATAAGATGGTAGCAGGTGGAATGAGGGACAAGCATGCATCGGGTACGACTAGAAAACTTCTTTGTTGAAGGATAAAGGATAACGTTTTTGGCGCTAATCAATCCCGTCTGAGGGATGCGCCCTCACACTCGACTTCCACTCAAGATCGTAGTGGTGGAATTAGTGCGTATGTAGCCTACACAATGACGCGGTTGCCAGCCGATGTACAAGTCAGTGCTTTTATCCTCACAGACGGGTCTGGTGCCAATTCTCCGACCCCGGAGGGATGGAAGGCTTGCTTGGCCTAGGCGGCCGTCGATCCGGGATTCGAACCCCTGACCGCGCGTGTGATATAGTGCGCCACTTGCCACTATACCACCTCCGCCCAAGTTCCTTGTTATCTTGCAAACGTTGCACGATTTCTGATTCCAATTTGAAAGCAAGGCGTCTACTGTTTCACTATAATAGAATTAGAGGACGGCTGACTCCAGTAGGAGGGGGAATATCGTAATGATACTACCACTCGTACAAAGCAGCTGTGAACACACTGACCTTTCTTCTGGGATTGACGATAGCATTTCACGCGCATTATATGCACATTCGTACGCATCTTCGAACTTGTTGTTGCTTAAGAAGTTGAGAAGTTCGGTTTCAAGTTCTTTCGCTCGAACATATCTAAAACAGAGCCGATTAAAAGTATACCTGAAATTCTGTCCCTAAATTTGTTGCCGCGGGGATAAGAGGAGGGGTATTACCGGGACAGCACGTTACCGTACCTACGGATCTGTGACAAAAGTCGGGCAATTAAAGTTCGAACAATCCTTTTAGGGATCGGATAGTTTATACTCAAACTTTCTATAGAAGGACGAAAACTCTGAATACATAGTCACTACCCGCAATCAACGTATAAGCCCAATTCACATTCAAATGTCGCTAGCATACTGATCGGGAGACATGTGCGTGGGTGCGTCCAAAAATGGGACTTCTATCACATCCTTCTTGTCGCAAAGAACTTCATTCATCATAATTCTACAGCCCAGTCATGCCCATAGCTCACAGAGTCCACTAGGCTACGCATTCGATTTCCAGCCAGAATGACAGCGACCTTAGAAGGGGGTCTGTCCATTGAATGAGAGGCAAGAACTCGCCGAATCAAAATCACTATTTTCTTACTTCCAAATGAGCTTGGTACAAATTTCCCGACTGCTGAGGGAATTAAGGTCTAGCTATAATCTGATATCGGTCCTCGCACCTCATATGTGATCGCGGCACCCTTTGCCATTCACCCTGCCCTCGATAAACTTTCTACAAATTTATGCAATTTGAGAAAAACAAACATATTTTTTAATGAACTCACGTCACCAATTCATCCTTGTTCTCATAAATGGAAATAATATCCGGACAAGGATTTGGAGCAGGAAAACGAACAACACCCTGATCCATACGGAGCAATGTATACCTGAACATGAGTGGTATGAAAAATGAAAAAAGAGTCTGCTCTGAGCCAGAGAAAAAAGAGCAGAAAAATCTGCTACTTTCTGATGGGCAAGAAAATCGACTTGAAGATCTAGCACAACCAGACTGCGCACCAGGTGCGTCTCCAAGCCGGAAGTAAAATGGTTACCTCACGCAGCAGTCACAGGTAGTGCTGGTATGACTTATCCTGTTAATAGATCCGGCATTTCCCAGCATTCGATAAAACAATGATTTTTCCTTGTGCGGGCATCCATCATCAGCTTTTTTCACACACTGTCATTTTTTTGTCTAGGTTCCCAAGGAGAGAAAGACATAAGAGCGTCTAGCTTCTTCGCATGAGAGATTTTCCCGCCCCTCTTACCATTAGACCCAGTCAATGTGGTAAGCAAAGCTCAAATTAACAAGCTCAGCTTGCCCGAATTTCTCCGATCCCGCAGCTGCAAAGCCGTATCGGTGCCAGGTAGCGTACTGTACTATGTGTTTGCTTTTTTTTTCATCAAGTACACCATGGAATTAGCTAAGGAATAAAATCAGCGTCGTTGTTCATCATAAGTCACCACAGTCCCATCTGAGTGGTCGAGCAAAAGATCTCCTTTCTGCTGACTTGAGGGCTAGGGAGACGAAAAAAAAGCAAGCCGTTTCTTCAGCATACCGATGTTGTTAAGTTTTCTTCAGCCAAGACTCCCTCAAACGGTAAAATAACTGAGTGAGGACCAGGGCAACCTTAATACTTTCCTGCACTCCACTGGGTGGCGTTCAAGAGCCGAATGTTGAAACCACGTAGTACAATCATTCTGACGCCTCCCCTCCCCTCATGCTTAGAGGTACTGTAATGAGGGAACTGTAAGTGCTCTTCATTCGGCTCTGAAACTGTCGCCAAGCGGCAGTTTTAGAGCCGAATGAAGAATTCTCGTTGATAACACTGCTGCGTAGCTTAAGTACCCACGCTCGTAGTTACCATTCACCCTAACCAATTTCATTTCAAAACTGCAACCCAGACGACTAGAGAAGAGTCCACCGGGCAGTGCTCTTGTTTCTCGATAGCTTCCACAAAGCTATGAATACTTAGAATATATAGTTTTCCATCTGTTCAACTCTTCCGTAATGGCGTTGAGTATGCCCAAAAGTGTGAGAGGTTGCTTATTAACAAGGGAATATTTAACAAATCCTGTACTCACAACAAAGTCTGCGGAAGGTTAACACTTGGCTGATCAATCATCAGACTGGAACACATTTCTGTCGGAGCATACAGAGTGAACAATGCCTGAATGCTTTCACAATGAATCACTTCGAAGAACACTACTTTCTGAAGACCGCTCTGTCTCATAATATCAGCACTGCTACAAACCTTAAAAACTTCACTTGCTTCCCGGTTCACGCGATAACAGGGGCCGAGCTCTTTCTTGATTCTAAAATTTGTTGTCTGAAACCCAGCTGCTGGAAAATTTATAATACAGAGCTTATGATGTCAAAAAGCTATAAGTTCTAAATGATCAGAGAAGCTAAGGAGGTTCCAACAGGACTGGCTACACACACCTGCTTACTGTAGTGAATGCTAACCCACTAAATAAAAAAAGTTTTTGAGCCTTACTGGAAGTGTTATTCCTAACGCACAAATTCCTCTACTACCGTAAGCAGCTACGAGCACTACACCGTACGACAGATACCGCAGTTGCAGGGTTGGAAGAAGTATGGAGCTGCTAAAAATGCACACATACGCCCTGAGCATCGCCACTGCCACAGAGCCCAATTGTCCAAAAAGACCTTTCTGCTTCGTCGAGAAGCTCATCAACATTGTTGTCAGTTCAATTTTCCCCTGAAATAGCCTATTGGAACTGTAAGTAAACTAGAGATTCCAACGATATCACCTTTGTAGTATCCAGCTGGTAGATCTTTGCAACAGATTTCAGAGCGGGCAATGGAGCCACCTTCAATGCCTCTTCGAGATTCGACAGACTTTTGTCACCTGGAAGACAATGCTTCATAGACTGTAACCTCTCAAAAATGCATATTAACGCAGTCAGCTGAAAACAAACGAAAAACAGTCAATCGAACAATTTCTATAATAGAAGCGTAGACCCTACCATCAACAAAGCCATGACGGATCAGTTCCACCAGCGACGATTCCATATCAGTTGATAACTCGGTATACCTGAACTGAGTGTGAACCGATTGACTCTATTTTTGGCGTTTTTTATCGCAATAGAAGGTGATCAAATTCTTCCGAAGAGAGTTACACTGTAATATATTCTACTAATGTAGAATCCAACAAAAACCAACAAGCTAAGGGCACAGTTCACCATAATTTTGAACCCATTTTAAGTTGAAAAGAGGAAGAGTCGATGTAAAGTAGTGCATCGGTGGCAAAGAAAGCGAGAGAGCTAGCCTACTCCGCGAAAAATAAGGCTGTCCAGAAGTGGTCGAGATTGCGGTTGTACGATATAACCATGGCGGAAATAGTATGGAAGGGGTATTCGGACGGAATTTCAGTACAAATGCGTAAAGAGCTGACTATATCAACTCAAAGTTGTCTAGAACTCTCTTCCACTGTCGACATGGGACATGACAAGTTGTTCAAACTTCCAACATGAGATTCTCTTGAAATAGCGCAGTCTCTACACCACCGTTGACACTCTTCCGCTGGGGGTGTGGCATACACACGACACAATGTCCGGTCCTTTATTGTGCCCTATTTAGGACGTTTCTCGACCTGACACGCTCCTAACAATTTCGCGAACCTTCCACTTTCATTTAGCTGCTCCATGGATAAGCCATGTATGTGCAAGGTTCGAACGGTTCTAGTTGCCTTAACATCAGAACGTGAAATCTTGTAGTCACTTTAACATCAGAGGTCAGAGGGATAAGCATACCCCTTTTTTCAAGTGAAGAATCCTACGAAACGTACAGAANTCGACAAAAAAAAGTACCTCTCTTTCAATTTATCCAACGTCAACCACCACGATTTTCTTAGGTGCAGCCTCATGAAAAGTTCACGAGCATTACGAGAAAGGTTGATGAATCTGAAACGTTGGGGGTTTTTCTTGTTGAAGAATTGCCGATGATAGACCACATCTGATTGTGCTTGAAGGATTTCATCTGTGGTCAACCTCTACGGCTTCCTCGGAATCAATCTCATGCAAAATTCGAGCGCGAGCGCTAGGAGGAAAATCAAGATAAAAGTTATTATCCATTTTTTTACGCATTGCTCTTGGAGTGGAATCCTTTACCTATCAAATATCACCATATCCTTCTGCCAGAAAGATTCGTCGTAGCGTGCACCATCGGACCTTTCGGCAAGGAGCACCTGAAAACGAAAGCACCGATTCAGTGAAAGATATGAAGTGACCCTAAACCCGTTCGGTCGGCAGCTTATTGACATTGGCATTAGCAAATTTGGACAACTTGTTGGCATCTATTCAAAGGTTACTAATTCATCAACAGAGAGCTTCCCTTCTGCGCCGACCGATCAGGTCATGAACAAGTACACTACCCGTCGCATCATCAGAAGGGTGAACTTCACAATATAAGGCATCCTTTTGAAGTCGGTCGACTGACTACTTTGATCCGCTCCATCACTGGCAGCCTCCTGGGACGAAAAATTCGCAGACCCATGGGATAGAAGCCGCTGTAAATAAAAAGTAAAAAAAAATAATAAACACAATTGAGTCGAAAAACTCCCAGTACCTCGACCTTCTTTACGACTTCGTCAGCACTTGGAATTTTTTTCTCCTCTTGTGACTGGGCAGTATGTTCTTCTACATTTCCTATCGTCACTTCAACTCTACCTTCACTCAGTGTGGAGGAGCAGTATGACGACCTCCAAAGTGATTGTGAGAATAAACGAACCTGCTTGGGCAGCATAAACGCTGACCAGTCAGTATAGTTGTGTGGATCCCACTCTCCCCCTCCCTACTGTTCCTAAGCAAGAGTTGGGAACTGAAAATTCGTTTAAAGTGAAGATCGTTTAACTCACTTTCTTGGCCGTTTTGAAGGGACGGCTCCGTAATTTCCACCGGTATCATGGGCTTCTTTCGTGTCAGGAGGACAATTTCTGGAACGAGCGATTCCGTTGATTAGAAATTTAATATTTAGTTGAATGAAAAACGACTTACTCGGGATCTACTTGACAAGCATTTACACATTCCACTTTGATGATTTCGATTTCATCGACAGTTTCGATCGATTTCAAACGCTTGCTCCTTTTCTGTTCCCATCTTGAGGCTAA